ACTTCCTTTCTGTAAGAGCGTTGGGTACCTTTCAGTAAAGGGGCGGGGGGGGGGGAGAGAAACATTAACAACATTTGCTTTAGGCAGGGTGGATATGTGGCTTCTGTGTTTAATACTGCAGAACAAAGCACATTTTATTTTCCTGACCCTCAAGCTGTTTGTAGGTTAAATATCAACTGAACTTAGCAAATACTCTTTATTAGATGCAGAACTTACTGCATGCAATTGAGTCTAAGCTTTTCTTGTGACACTGAAGGTTCCTAGGCTTTAAGTATAAAATATCTTTGATGTTTTTAGTCTCCAAAACTAGAACTGTAGCATTCTCCTTGCTGGCTCACAAGAACAGAGCTAACAGAGGGAATGGAGAAGACAGTGAAAAGTCCTCATGTGTGCTTGCATCAGTCCTCTGTCCCCATTTTAGTCACTGCAAACTTAATGCCTTGCTTTCTTTATGTGGTTTGGCCAGCTTAGAGGATGGAATTTTTGCCAAGCCCCATTTGCACAATTAATAGTCTTTTTTTTTTATTCAGTTGAATGCCTTATTACAAAACTATTTCTAGTATGAGAGGGTTTGATCTTATCCATCTTGATTGTCCCTCTAACTATAATCATGTCTTAAATGGCTGTGCCTCAACTGTTTATGATGCAGACGTATGTATAAATTGCATCTCTTGAGAGAGCAGATCTTTGTTCCCCATGTGAAGCAATCTCTGCCTATTGCTAACAATGAATGCAGATGCCACGGAGGTAATTAGAATTGTGATTTGTGGATAATTTGTGTGAAACTGGTCACAGCACTTAATGTAGGAGTGATGCTGAAACTTCCTATTGCTTTACAATAAAAGAGAAGTTTCTCTGGAAATATTAATATTGATTGTCATTCTAGTGTGTTAGTTTGTGTATTATATTGCTGAGGGAATACTCTGCAAATACAACATATATTTATATTGCAGGATAAAATCATAATTACCCAACACAATTTTACCAGTTTGTAATACCATTCTGAAACTCAGATTAAAAACTGAAAATCTCCAATATACTTTGGTTGCCTGCCACCTTTCAATTGCTAAAAATAATTCCCAATGCCACTAACACACATTCTCTCCTTGTACCTACAGGATTTTGAAACTCAGAGCAGACGAGTCGGGGGAATACTTATGTGTGTTCGTGTTTGCTAACTCGCCTGTAGCCAACGCCACTATAGAAGTGAAAGGTATTTTTGGTTTTTCTCTCTCCTGAAAACTGTCTGAGCAGTGCTCTTTCCTTTCTTCTCTTCTGGGTCCTCTTTGTCATGAGTCCTCTCTGGGTGTGTCCATACTACATAATTAACTCAAATAACCCTCCCCTGAGTTACTTCCCTTGTGTTAGCTTCTCACAAAGTAATGTTCTGCATCCACACTGGCATCACAGTTGCTCATATGACTTCTGGAGGCACATCCTTTGGTTCATAGCATTACAGTAAACTGTACCCCACTATGACTGCTTTTGCAGTGTATAGTGATAACTTTTCTGTGCCTTTTGTGGATACTGAATGGACATTGTATGAACACAGCAACTAATTAAAGAAAACCAGTTTAGGTTGTCACGTTGTAGATTTCTCTCCAGGGTCTTCATTCCACTGGTGGCAAGGTATGGATTCAGTTTGCAGAGGTTACCTGTACCAAATATTGGCACTAGTTTCTCAGTTATTCCCCACACGTGGCCTTTTTTCCTGCCCTATCCATTTAACAGTAGTTGTATAAACTACTTCAGAGCTTAAAACTGGACTTGGTGCACTAATGAAAAAACAGATTAGAGCTTGGTCAGTCAGAAGAAAAGGCAGCTAAGTAGTCTGCAAGGTACAAAATCCTCATAACCAACTATGTAAACCTCACTCCCTTTCAGGTTTTGTATTGCCCTTTGCCATTACATAGGTCTGTCATATACTGAGTCCCTAAACTTACATTGAAGGGGTTCTGTTTCCAATCCATCCTCAAGCTTAATTAAAAAGTGTAAAGCTTTGTCTGTTGCTGTTCCAGTCCTAATGGCAAGTAACAAGGGAAGAGAAATCATTGTCTTCTAAATGGCTTGTTGGTTTTTTTGGCATCCCTGGGGGTAGCTTCTGACCTCAGTTATTTGATATGTTCCTGTGATATTACCTAAGGAAGGCCCTTGGCAAAGGCAAACACTGTTAATGGGATACATAAGGAACTTTTCTGCCCCTGACTGAAGATATGTTGTATGGCTGAGCTACTGAATGAAGCATAGCAGGAAAGTGGAGGTAACAGACTGTGCAGTCCAAGAGACAACTTATTTGATATTAAAATAAAATTAAGAAAACATAACTGTAAAATTATGGTTAAAAGTGAGTTACATTGTTCTAACATAATGAAAGGTTTCAGAGTAGCAGCCGTGTTAGTCTGTATCCGCAAAAAGAAGAACAGGAGGACTTGTGGCACCTTAGAGACTAACAAATTTATTAGAGCATAAGCTTTCGTGGACTACAGCCCACTTCTTCGGATGCATATCATAAATTTGTTAGTCTCTAAGGTGCCACAAGTCCTCCTGTTCTTCTCATTGTTCTAACACTTCAGAAAAAGAAAGCAAACAATTTCCTGAGGCTTAAAACTATTGCCATGTTAAAAAGATTGTATTCTGATCAAGATGTACGAAAAAATACTGTCAAATGCGTGTCTCTGTTCAAAGGATTCCTTTTGCAGAGGGCTCAGAGAGGCTCTTTACATAAAGACTGTTTAGAGATAGTGGATTTTTGTTAAATGTTGGGTATTGTGCTCATAAGGAGAAAGTGGTGATAGCTCTCTAAAATATATAATTAGGAAAACGTAATTAGGAAGGCAGGAGGGCATTTTGTGGAGGACGGGAGGGGGAGAAGAAATTCATTGCTGATCAGGAGTCTGACTGTGAAATGTGAGCAGAGTCACACAACTCTAAGAATGCAAGTTCTATTGCTTAGCTTGAATCAATTTAATAGAAGGTTGTGCTGTATTTAGTGAGCCTGTTTTCCAGGATTTAGACTGGCTGTGATTTTATGCTGCTTAATCTTGTTTACTGTGATTTTGCTCAACTTGCTAAATAATTATTGCTTTACGTAAAATAACTTTTGAATTAGGCTGCTCTTAGGGATGACCTTTACAAGCCATTTCCAGAGAGAAGGAAAGCTTCTTAGCTTTGATAAGGGGCAAAAGCTGGCCAGCCTAGAGCACTCTGTCAAAAGATGCAGCATGGGGCTGTGCATCAGAGTGGCCAACTTTCATGTGGTAAATAAGCACCCCGACTTTCACAATAAGCCAAAAATCAAGCTAAAACAAGCTAGTCCCTAAGAACCCCAACACTCAATGTGATTAGATCCCCCGGCGTGCAGTCTGTGACTGTGGTGGGCCTGCTGTGCACCCCTGATCTCTCCTCCCCTTTCCCCTGCTTGCTGGGAGCCGATCAAAATAAAGAAGCAACAAGCTACAAGCCAACAAGGAACTCACAAGCCAGTTAAGCCAAAAACAAGCCCAATTTCTGTTTTTTTTCCCCCACGGGTTTGGCATGTCTGCTGTGCGTTCACCAAAGTGCTGTTACTGTGCTGCCCAAGGATAGTTGCAGACATGCAGAAAACCTGGTGGTACTACTGAGCAGTGATAGTGATAAACTCCGTTTCCTGGATTGAACCATTGGCACAAAGGGTAGAGGGAGAACAATAGTTAATTACATTAACCACTTTCCATGGAAATTATGTATAAATACCTGTGACTGAGTAATCATTACCAATTACACTGGTCTACAATTTTTGAGAAGTCATCTGCTTCAGAGATAAAATGTGCTATTTATTATGTATTTTGATGTGCTGAATTCAAATATGACAATTAAAACAACTGATTGGCTACTGTTTCTAAGATATTTAAATTTTTACATTTTATGTCTATGTGTATTGTGTAGATAGTAGAGTTTTAATCATAAA